ATATAAAAACAATGGATTAAGAGGGGAAAAAATCTTATTGTTGAGTCCAACAAGATCAATAATAATTATAATTTACTTTTTTTGTACATTTATTCACATACTGTCAATTTCACTATTGCACACATTTAAAGATCAACTATACAGCATGTGTAGCCCAAAAACACCTCTCAGAGCAGAGTGCTTTTATAATGGCATGCTAAAAGCCCTGTAGACCATGACATCGGCTCCATATCATGCCAGGCCACAGCAGACACAAGCTCCATCTGAGCACTGTTTCAAGGCTATCACTCTCTATCATCATTTCCTTTGTCTCTCTGCTGGAAAACAACAGTGGAGGAGTTCGTTTATAAAGGTTTACTAACCAAAGTGATCTATTTTGTGGTCAGACTTGACTGGAAATAAAGAAGGGGTCATTTAAGAGCAGTGGAGCTGAGGCCAGAGACTAACAATGCTGCCAAACACACAGGCAACAGTGGGCAAAAATGAGTATTTAATCTCAATGTTGGTGGTACCTGTGATGTGGACATGCGTGAAGTGTCCTGTCGACCAGTTAGATCAGAGGAGGAAATGTTGACAGGGGCTCCACGGTGCAATCTCATACTGACCTTCCTCTCTCGCTCCATTCCTGGCAAAAAGACAAAGGAAGGAAGACACGTGTCATCTAAAGCATGGAAAATGGAAAAAAACGGACACCAACACCACACATTGGGTCGTGTCCACCTAAACAAAAATCCTTCTGTTTTCCAACATCTGAACCACAAAGTAATTACACCAAACTGGAAAAACTGCACAAACGTTATCTGAATAATAATTAAAAAAAAAAAAAAAAAGAAGAAGTTGTTTACTGGGATTTCGGTCGAGGTGACATTGTGGGTTTATGAGTCTTTGCGCTCGACTCCTTGAGGCTCTGCTAATTGAGGCCATACACTTCAAGACCAGTGCAGGGTCACTGTTAAAGTGTCTTTCTTGTACAAATATCTGCGTGAACCTCCGCCCTTCAATAAAACAAACGCTAGTAAATTTATGTCATGTCTAGCAAACATCCTGCTGAGCGTAGTAGCTTGCAACCCTTTAACCACTTCCTGTCAGCTAAGATGACAACAAATGGCAGGAAAGAAAGTAGCTGATAAATACAAATCTGTCTTGATCTGAAGCAGTGGAGAGAACGAAAACCCTTGTACAGTGGGGCAAAAAAGTATTTAGTCAGCCACCAATTGTGCAATTGCAAATCAAAAGAATCCTTATGCACAAACAAAAAGTTCTTCAGATGTTTACGTGAGTTAAAAAACAAGCACAGACAGGCAGCAGTGGACGTCTTACCTGTGTGTGAGGTTGGCGTGAGGGGTGTGGGAGGTGCTACTTCTTGCGTTCCTCTGGGTCTACCTGAGCTGGAAGGCATTATGCCACGGGCCGCAGGATTCCGCCCATGTCGCAATCTTTCCTCTCGATCCCTCCGCTCTCTCTCAGGATCTTCTGCTGCTCTGTTCGCACCCTGAACAGCACAACACATTAGAAATGAAGTCTTCATTTTTTCTCAATTAAGTCTTTAATTAAGTCTTTAATAGACCACAATAACAACCAACAACAATTTAAGAAATACAGCATCCATGCAAAGACAACCCATATGTCACTCACAAATTTGAGCATATTCCAGTCAAACACGTAGTCGTATGAAAAGCCTTGTCTGTGGAAAAGGTTCCTGAAGAGCTGTCTCAGGTAAGAGTAGTCGGGCTTGTCGTCAAAGCGAAGGGAGCGGCAAAAGTTGAGGTATGTGGCAAACTCAGCTGGAAACAAACAAAAGGCACATGCAATGAAATTAAGTTTTGTGGCTTTTAGTCACTTTGGTCGCATTTGTAGTCATTCAAAAGTTTAGGGTTGGTAAGATTTTTTGATGGTTTAAAAAAAAAGTCTCATATGCTCACTAAGGCTGCATTTATTTGATCAAAAACATAGTAAAAAAAGTAATATTGAAATATTATTATAATTGTTAAAAGTTTTTTTTTTTTAAGTTTAAAAAACAGCATTTATTTGTAAATTTTTTAAAAATATTATCAATGTTCTTGCTGCTACATCTGATCAATGCAATGTGTCCTTGCTGATGAAAAAAGTTAATTTCTTAAAAAAAAAATATTGATAACTGATATATTTGATTGAATGGTCCAATCAAATGCTCTCTTCTACCACCTGCCTCCAACTAGCAAGCAGCTTATGGTCCACGGCTGTGATATAATGTAGCTTAAGCGTATTGGCTACTTAAAAAATGCCTTATATTTATAAGCAGAAGCTTACATGGGTATCCTTTGCACAGGACTTCAATAGGAGTGGACATCTTCTTCTCACTGATTCGCTCATACTTCTGTCTCTTTGTGGCAGCCTTCAGACCCTGCCATGGCAGAGAGCCCAGGTTGAAGTACATGAGCACATAGCCAAGAGACTCCAAGTCATCTCGTCTGGATTGCTCTGTGAAAGAAAACACCGACGATAAACACTGTATGTCATTTCAATGGCCAGACTATAAGAGGTGAAGTGGCTTAATCGTAAATGTTAGGGTGATGACAGGTCAGGTCTGAAAGTACTAGAGGTTTCAATATGATAATATAATAAGTTTATTCAAAAGACATGTCAGGGTACCTATGCCCAAGTGGGTGTTGATGGAAGCATAGCGAGCAGTGCCAGTCAAGTTTTTGTTCTCGCGATAAGGGATGTGCTGGTGGGTGCGAGCATCTCTGTACTTCTTGGCCAGGCCAAAGTCAATGATGTAAACAAGGTTGCCCTTCTTCCCCAGGCCCATAAGGAAGTTGTCGGGCTTGACGTCTCTGTGGATGAAGTTCTTGGAGTGTATGTACTCGATACGGCTGATCTGAGAACAGAACAGAGGACAGGTTCAGCAGGTCGAATGACTGAATGAGAGACTCCATGCAAACCTAACACACCAATTCAAATAAAGCAATGAGGGTATGACAACCGCTGAACAAGCAGTCCTTTCACATTATGCCTCCTTTCACAGTGCCTCTTGGCACGTAATACTCAGTCAAACACAAGTGAAAAAGGACACTGGTTGTCTAAGTAAAACAGCTGAAAGGATGACAGTAAAGCTTGTCATGTCACCAGAACACCATATTATCCCATTTTGGGTGTCCTATAACAAGAGATGGGTAGGGTGGAGAGGACAAAGGTTACAGTGATCATGTCTACAAGCCTTACCATCTGGTCAGCCAACAGAAGAACAGTCTTTAGGCTGAACTTGCGAGAACAGAAGTTGAAGAGATCCTCCAAACTGGGTCCCAGCAGCTCCATCACCATCACATTGTAATCTCCCTCTGCTCCACACCATTTGATTGTTGGGATACCGACTGTAAAAGCAAATAATTACCCTTAGTACAGATGACTTTTTTTCTTGTAAAAGGGAATTCGGTTTATGAAGGAAATGCTTGCCAACCAAAAGGATCTTGAAAGTTTAAATTACAGAACAGAGGGGAAAGTTTGACTAATACATATTTGTATCTTTGAAGGACTGACTGACAGAAACCAAAGGTGACCTACAATATAATAGGTGGGGGGTTGGGAGCCTGTTTGTTTCAGTAAGGCAGTGATGTGATAAAACCCAAGCAGAGCTTCAGCTTAAGTAAACCAGCAGTCGTGGTTGGTCACCCTCAGAAAGGGCTCCAACTCATCAGCCATAAAGCATAAACCATCTCTAGGATGACCTTGAAGTGATGCACGAAAAGATATAGGCTGTCAGGGAAAGATAGCTGATACCCAATTAGATCACTTCAAGGGCTTCCCCCCCCACCCACCACCACCATTCAGCCACACGTGAACCAGGAAAGGCAACTATCACAACACTATAATGTAATCTGAATTTGTACTGATACAATGGATGTTGAATACACATAATCCTCCAGTTAAACAAAGAAGACTCTTTCATGTGATACAATTATAGCTACCAGCTTCAATAAAATGCTCATTTATATTGGCAATCTGCAAATAAAAACTGAACTAAGTTCTATTGAATACTGCATTGCTTCTCACTTTGAAATATTCAGAAATGAAAAAAATTTAAATGGTCAATGCAATCAACATGAGATTGGAGTGAACCCTTCTCAATTTGGGTAATTTATGCAAGTGGAAAAATACATGTTGTTAAAAATGCTAAATGAGATGGTAAGAATACGAATTTATTTAAACTTACAAATATATTGCAATAAATTACAGCAAAACCTGTTAATCGGTTAAAGTCACCATACACAGTATAAAAATGTAAATGTTTAACATGCCATAATTTTACTGTACAATACTTAGTTTTTGCAGGTAAATACTATGAATTGCTGTAATAATTTATGGTGAAAAAAAGGACAATCTCAAAAGTTATTTTAAAAAGTTTTGGTTCTCCTTATTTTCGAGTAAAGAATATAAGCATGTTTACATTTTCTGTTAATGTTTATTGCATTTTTTTTAATGTGTGGTGTGTTACCCGTTTGATCTTTGTGTGTTTGAATATTCAGTTCTGGCCATGTTTTATAGACAGGCCACTTATGATTAACTGATTAATCATGTGGCTTTCTATTTCCACACACATCATGGTGGTTATCAGTACCCTCTATGCCACATCGCAGATTTGAGTAATTTAAAAATCTTGAAATTAAAATGATTTATGAATTGTATGTTTGCAAGTAGAATACACGGGCACCAATATACCTTCCAGTAATACCTGCAACAATGTCATAGTATTTTTTATTTTTATTTTTTTTAAACAGTAAATTCCTGGTATCCTCAGCTGCCTTTTCCCCCCACTGTGAATGTATTGTCATACATTTTACAGTATAAAGACCGTTTTCAAACAGTTTTCTTTAATGCCACTCTTTTAGTCAAGCCTAAGCCTTTTCATGATTTTTCCAGGATTATCAAGGAGAGGAAGAGACAGAGGGTTCAGCAGAGTTCTGGTAGGTCAGAGATCTCTCAGCAGCTGCTGTCGTGTCTACGGCCGTGCACACCCTGAGCCTGGCCGATGCCTTCAACAACACAGAGCTTTTGCTGTTCAGCACTTTCCAGAAAACATCCTCCAGGTCAGCTATTCCTGCGCAAACTCAGGAGGTTAAATATATCTCCTGGTCTGAGCCGTCAAGCACGCCTTTCCATTCTCACATCAGGACAGCTCTGACACGGTCTATATTAATAAGAATTAAAATAGAAAAATACCAAGCCTTGTGCTTCTTTATGTATGGACTCGAAAAAGACTGCAACTGTGCTGCTAAAACATACAAAAAGAAATCGCATGAAAGGTTCCCTTTCTACCTACAACATGCATGCACACGCATGCACGCATACATGCAGGTGCCCGCACCTTTCTCAATATAAAGTTATCAGTGTGTATGCTTGTTCATGCTGTGCTAAATAAGGCTGCGAGTGGTGCAAGAGACCCAGTTAGGAGATGGAATGCACAGGGCCGGCCGGCCGGGGCCCCGCCCACCCCCCCGCATGCACCATCTGGCCCAGGGTCCATGTGATCATAGAGAGCACAAGCGCTGAGAGGGAGGCTCACTCACAATGTCGGTCTGTCATGGCACGGATGCCATCGCAACGTTTGGCCGCCGCGGAGCGAACGTCATGCTTGCTCAGTCATGCTGGGAAGCGAGAGGACAAACTAGAGCGTGTTTGAAAGCAAATGCCATAGGCAAGGCAAGGCAAGTTTATTTGTATAGCACATTTCATACACAATGGTAATTCAAAGTGCTTTTAGACGACACACTTTTGCTGCTGGCACCATAAAACACCCCCGACAGGATTGTCATACATCTATCTAGTATAAAAGCAATTGGGGCCAAACCCCACTGGGGCCGGTAGGGGGGACGCATCCTTCATGCACCTCATGTATATTCATAAACCATCACCATACATTACAACAGAACCAACATTTCAACAAAAGCCTGATTTTGTGACCGATGACAATGCTGAGGATACAAATTGCCTACTTCCTTCACCTCCACGCAAGGCCAATGAGAAGACGATTCATGGTGGTGGTGACAGAACGCTGTGAGTAGTTTGAGATCTGATAATGCCACACTCATTGGAGAAGGATGTTTTGACTCACTGACCGATGAAGCGAGGGGAACTGATCACGATTGGTTTGCTGCCTACTGTTGCTACAGTATTCAGTAACACCAACTAAGAAATGGAGATCCTGTGAACTACACCTTACCTCCAGAGAACCCTCTTACTCAAACAAATTACTCAGGAGCTTATCAAAAGTACAACATTAAGCCAACATAAAATGGTCATAATTTATAGAGGCTTTCAGAGGCTAATATTACTAACCAGGGATCAACAGGAAGGACATCCAGTAGTTCCTGCTTTAAATTTCCACTGGCCCCAGCACAAAATGACCCATATTTATCTACACTATAACATTCAAAAGTTTTGAGTTAGTAAGATTTTTTTTGTAATGTATAGAAGACATTAATACTTTCATTCAGCAAATTTTTTGCTGAACTTGTTTTGAACTTTCTATTCTGAAAAAAACAGTACCACATTTTCCACAAATTATTAAGCAGCACAACTGTGTTCAAGGCTTATAATAATAAGAAAAAACGAGCACCAAATCGGCATATTATAATGATTCCTGAAGGATGTGTAACACTGAAGACTGGAGTAATGGCTGCTGAAAATTCAACTTTGCTGGCAGAGAAATAACTTACATTTTAAAATATAGAAATTAAAAACAGAAGTTATTTTAAATTCTAATAATATTTTACAATATTAGTTTTAACTGCATTTTTAGTCAAATAAATGCAGCCTAGGTGAGCATAAAAAGCTTCTTTCAAATATATTAAACAAAATACCAACCCCAAAACTTTGAATGGCCTATGTATTTTATATTTCTATAAAGTTAAGCTCTGCTTTTAACATTTCACAATATGATTAAAATGGTAAGCTATCAAACAGCCTTTCAATACCAAGAAATATTCAAATTATATATTATAAATATTCTAACTGTTCATATTAAATACAGTAAATATTATACAGGCTCTTATGTATGTGGCGGCAGTGTGAGGTGTGTACGTGTGACTCATAGTTCTGTGTTAATGGAGAAGCCGGATGGAGACCACGAGGAGCTATTGACTGAGTGTGGAAACACGTACCACCTCCTTGCATCATCTTGTAGATCTTGCTCTCGATGTGCAGCTGTGGGTGCTTCGTTTTCACACATTCTAGCTTGATGGCTACTTCTTCCCCCACGGAGATGTCTGTGCCTGGAAAATCAGAAAAGGGGGGAGATAGAAGTTAGTAAAACTATATATAACTAAAGAGAAAAGCGAAAAATGGATAGTGGATGGAGAAATTACTTGATATGTCTAAAGTAGGGAGCTTTAACAAAAAAATATCTGCTCATGTATCTGTGACGTACAATACACGCATACACGAGCATGAGAACAATAAATACACTCAACTAGAGAAGCTTTGCCGTGTCTAAATACGCTTTAGCTTCCAGTGCATTATGAGTCATTGGGACACAATTAAATATAACCAAAAAATATAATGAATATACAGGCCCACTATGATTAAAAAAAAATTCTACATATCTAAGGTTGACTCACGCACACAGCTTTCCAGCATGAGGGAGTGGGCACAATTATCTACGCGTACTGCTATACCACCTCCTTTCCGGCCCACCATCTGCCTCAACTCCACATCCTGAGCAGAGGATTCTGAAAATCATCCACAGTCATCTGTTGTAACAGACACCCAGTGAAACAGATAAGGAAAACGACAAGGCATTCCCAAGAACTGGCTTTGCATGTGTGTTATGCCTGAGGGATGTGACATGAAAGACAGGATGAATGATGAGGAATGACAAAAAAAAAACAAACACAAAATACATCATTAACATTCCTCCCTCTCTTATTCAGTCCAGAAACTGATGTAGTACCTGAACCCAGTACTGCTCTTCCAGCCTCCAGACCGGAAGAACAGTCAGAAAAAAACTGTCATATGCCCCTTTTCCACTGACAAGGTTACCGGGACCCAATCTAAAATGGAAATATCAGCTCTGCAGTGACCCTTAAAACCTACTAACAACTAATGTCAGAGATGCAGGTGGTCTACTATAAAGTAACATAAATTGACTGATATGAATTGTACTATGTTGTATAATAAAACAGATCTGAAAAATTAATTGAAATAAAATCAAAATCATGATATGGGGCGATTATCAAATTGCAAAGTCTGCAGTTTATTTGAAGAGCTGTGTCTTTCAAAATGAAGAGCAAGACTGTTCATTTATACATATGCGATTGTAATGCATATGACTATTTTTTTAATCAAGTAATAGAGGTTCTGAACTAAAATATTAGTAGGGCTGCACGATTAATCGCATGCGATATTTAACGCGCATCTTGTCAGAAAGCCGGTTCTGTAATCAGCGGTAAATCTCCATCCCCTGCGGGCTTTCACATGGAGCAGCATTAACTACACAGAGCCGTTGTTCACTGA